TCTCAAAAGGAGATTTTTCTTTACCTGGCCATGGAGGCAAACGATTTATTACATGGCATGCACATTGAATTGCTTCAGCCCAAAGCTCTCAAGGGAGATTCTTATCGTGCAGCCAGGAAAGGCTCATGGAAACAAGATGAGCTAATTTCCTTTCCGAGACACCGTTCTGTTGAGGGGTACTTGGACATGTCATTTGTCTTGAAATACCGTTGTCATCACAGTACTTGAAGAAATCATTTGACATATACTCGCCTCCGTTGTCACTTCGTAAACACTTAATCTTCACCCCAAATTCCTTTTCCACAGCAATTTTAAACTCAGTAAATTTTGACAAAGCTTCGCTCTTCTCTTTCAAGAACTTCACCCATGTATATCTTGAAAAATCATCTACGAACACCATGGCGTAGCGAAAACTGCTATAACTTGATGTTTTTGTTGGTCCCATCAAGTCGGTATGAACCAGCTCAAATATAGAGGATCTCCGATTCAACGATCTCTGAAATGGAAGGTGATGTGATTTGCCATATTGACAGCCTTGGCAAACTACATCTTCATGAATATTCTGTAGAGCTGGTATGCCATCCACCAATTTCTTCGAAGAAATTTGCTGCAACAATTGGTAGCCTAAGCGTCCCAGTCGAGCATGCCAAATTGCTGGACTATCTGTTTGACTTGTCTTCTTCACATAGGCTTCCCCTACAGTCATGACAAATAAAGAACCTTTCTTTTCACCAGCAAGAATAACATCAGCAGCTATATTCTTTACGTTATCAAGAACATTTACATCACTTGGACCGAACAAAACATATTTTCCTGAATTGGTAATTTGGGAGACTGAAACTAAATTTCTCTTCAAACCTGGAACATGAAAGATGTCGTTCAACTTGATAGCCCGTGTATCTCCAACGTCAATCTTCAAAACTCCTTCTTTAGCTACTGGATATACCGAGTTATCAGCTGTAACAATAACTCGTTCTCCGTTATGTTGACGTAGCTCTGAAAGTAGTGAATCATTGCCGGTTACATGATGAGAGCAACCAGAATCAATGATCCACTCTTGTCTGCAGCTATCGTGGTTGTAAAGAACTTGAGCTGGTACGGCACCATCGTTCCTCCCTTCAACTACTTCAACGGTGAAGCATTGCTCCCATTTGAGTTGCTCGTTTCCTTCATTTTCAGTGGTAACATTTGCCTTTGAGATCTTCACTCTACAGTTTTTCTTGATGTGCCCGATTTTACCACATCTATGGCACCTTCTATTTTCAAAGTTGCCATCAGTAGCTTTTCCGCTGTTTGAGCCTTTCTCATTGTTCTTGTTTCCTGCTGATGTGCTTTCTTTTTATTCTTGTCCTTTGAGAAGAGAACGGCATCAGATTCAAAACTTTTTGCCATTTGCTTTGCTAAAGCCTCTTGGTTGGAAAGCAAATTTTCTAATTCTTCAACTGAAGGTTGCTTTGACCAACCTTGAATGGAGGTGATGAAAGGATTCCTTCAATCCTCGAATAAGAAATCGTCGCATTCTTGCTTCGCCGATCTTCTCATCGGGATCTAATTCTGAAATTTCAGCACAAATGCTTTTAACTCGTAGGAAATATTCAGAAATAGACATACCTCCCTGTGTTAGCATTGCCAATTCATTTTCCAACAGCTGTAACCTAGCTGTATTCTTTTGAGAAAACAATCTCTCAAGTATCTCTCAGACTTCTTTTGGTGAACTAACATCACGTACATGATCGATGAATTCTTTTCCAATTGAAGTTCTTAAGCAAAGAGAGCTTTACCACATTTGATCTTCCATTTCCTTCGTGGTTCCGCATTTTCCGGAGTATTTGCTGGAATGTCTGCTTCAGCACCAACAATAAGATCCCACAAGTCTTGACCTAGAAGGTAAGCCTCCATACACATTCTCCAGTACTTGTAGTTTGTCCCTACAAGCTTTTCAGCACCAAACTGTGCATTCGAACTACTTCCCCCATTTGCCAATTCCATACTGCACAAAGAGCTTCTCCTCTACAACTTTCGATCTCCTCCAACAAGACAAAGCGAACTTAATAGGCAAGAAGAAAGAAAGAACAACCAGAGTTCAACAACCTGGCTCTGGTACCATAAAACAAAAAAATAACAGAGGAAAGAAGAAATTACAGTCAAAGAGATTGTAGGAGAAATAAAACACTGAAGAATGTTATTGCTTTCACCGTAACTCTGATTTACAGCACGATATGCAAAGCATATAAATAAGACTGAACCACTAACGTTCAACTCCTAAAAAGACTCTAACAACTAGCAAGGAATTGTTGAAGTTGTCAAACTCCCACATCGGTTGGGGAGAAAAATTGTTGGGATTTTTCCCTTATAAAAGGAGGCCTAATGTTTAGGATTTAAACACACCTCTCATTTGCCTTCTTATCTTCTTAAGGCATTTGTATCTTCTCTCTTTAGTATTATTTCACTAGTATTTTTGGAGTGTAATAAAATATTGGTTGTGTCCGAGGAAGTAGGCAAAATTGGCCGAACCTCATAAATTCTGGTGTTCCTTTTATTGTTGCTTT